TTTTTATGAATAAGGCCATTAGATTTTGAGAAGGCTTATGACAGAATAGGTTACCATGTTATTCTGCTATAACTAAAGCCCTGGAAAATTGGTGAGAGGATGTACAATGTTATCAAATATTTCCTTTACAACCGGAATATCACGCACGTATATCATCTTGCTTACGCTAATGATATTTTAATTTTTTCTAAGACTTGGGACTTGACGCAAGTAAAAATAATTTTTACTAACATACTGAGCGATCTAATGAATTAGTCCAAATCTTCAGAATCTAAGATTTAAGCTGAAAAAGTAATTTTTTCACATATGCAGAAAATACAAATGTATACATCCAACCCCCTCCTTGTCTAACACCCCTCCCCTATACTGATACATTGAAAATATTGTACTGTCATTATGTAAATTAAATTATTTTTATCATATAAGTATTCTTTAGTCCGTATAGCTACACTCGTAAATGTAATTAGGGCTCTTATATTAGGAAAGGTTGACTTTGGACTCATAATTTATGGGCACTGCGCAAAAAACATCTTAATTGCTAGAAAGACCTTACCATGCAGCAGAGGAGAAGAAGCATCCTTGCATTTCCCACCTCGCCAATAAAAGCTATCTCTCACGTCGAATCCTGCTTTAACAAAAAAACTGATGAAGCAAGCAATCAGATTTATTTCGTATATTAAGCTACATCAAAGATTTGGACATCATATCTACTCCGATGCCTATTTAAGTAAAAACTCTACCTCTGGGCATTTGCCCAGATCCATACTCATAAATGACCTGGGAGCTTATTTTCACAGACGGTTCCAGATATGATACCAGCTGTTCTTTTGCGGTAACAAAAGGGCTTGGTGTTACAATTGTCGTCGGTGCTTTTCCCGCGTACTGGTCGGCATTTGCAGCCGAATCAGCTGCATTGCTAGAAGCTGTACGTTTCGCCTCTAAAAACGAAGGAAATTTCCTCATCTGAACGGACAGTAAATCAGGTTAACATAGTATTTACATCTAAAGAACTGACATTTTCATTATTCTGCAAAACCCTCTATCAGCAAATTTTTTTATATAAATAGTTATAATTCGAATTGCAATAACCTGTATCTGATCTTTAAACTAAAATAAAATGAATTAAAAGTAAAAAAACTAGTTTCGGTATATAGCGTGAATTTTTAAGACATGCGTGTGTACTCAAAATTATTAACATTTTTAAAATAAGCTGTCAAAACGGTTCTTTTGCTCTCCTGAAAAATTTAGTTATTGCAGATAGAGGGTATTGAATATAAGCCCTCGGTATGTATGTATGTACATGCGTATAAAAATTAAATAATTCAAATTTTCAACAAAAAAAAACATGAAAAAGTAAAAAGCTAAATAAATACTTTCATCGATTGTCGATTTGACGGCAAATTGGACACAAAATGCTTGTACTACCATTTAGATTAGTACGCCTACTGTGCTCTGCAAAGCAATCTGTGCAAAATTTAAAATTATTGGCCGAACTTCTCCTCCGATTGGCCTTGATATCACACAAACCACTCGACCACGGCTGATTTTGATGTTTGCGAAAACTTTCAGTCGCCTTCTCAGTTAAAACAACCCGCGCGTCATCCACATCCCCAAAGTATTTCTGCGGCGTGGGTACACAAACAACCCCAACTCCTCATCGTACATTCATATAGAGCAGTGATTCCCAACGTGGTCCAGGTGGACCCCCAGTGGTTCACGGTGACGTGAAAAAATATGGGGGTCCATGAGTTGTAAATGGGGGTCCTCGAAACCTTCTGCAATCAAAACCACCATCAGAAACTGGGTGAATACTTCGCTCAGCAATGACTGAGAGGCATCGAGGGGATTCAGGTGGGCAAAACTCATGTTGCCTTCAATCTCACAAGGTCTATCTAATTTTTTGCTCTCACTGAGCAGACGACATTGCAGACAACTTGCTGGACTGCTTACTGGTCACTTCACGTGGCACAAACACCTGACTGTGATAGGCGTAAATCCATTTGCCCATCTTGCCTTGAAGAAGATGAAACGGTGGAACACTTTTTAAGCTTCTTGCTTGCTTGGTTGTGTCTTTTCTCTACTATCAGTTTCCGAATTAAAAGTATGGCGTAAAATCTTAGCCGTTTTGATGTTTTAAGTTTTGTGTTTTAAAAATGTGATAAACATTTTTCACCTCACTTTAAAATTCGGAGTGATAAAAATAAAAATGATGCCATTAATTCAAATAAACTTTTACAAATACTCCACGTACAAAGTCATGAGTGAGCCGAACATTTGATGAGTTTATGGTGAAGATAATGTAAATAACGCTAGCACTCGCAGTGCTCTTAAAAATATAACTCCTACGAACGAGAGAGTATTTTGATGTATTTGATGTATTTACAAGTGTGTAATCATTAATTTTTAATTATTTTTTATAAACAGAACACAAGAAAATACTTTACTTTTATTTTAGCCACTCTTGAGTTTAGTTTTTGAATGCACCCGCGATGCAAATTTACAT